CCCATCTCTGCTTACCTCCACACCCCAAACCCCTCTTTGCTGACCTCCACACCCCCATCTCTGCTCACCTCCACACCCCAAACCCATCTCTGCTCACCTCCACACCCCAAACCCACCTCTGCTCACCTCCACACCCCAAACCCATCTTTGCTCACCTCCACACCCCAAATCCCTCTCTTCTCACCTCCACATCCCCCTCTCTGCTCAGCTCCACAACACAAACCTCCCTGTTAGCACTCCTATGTACACCACTGTCCCTGCTAAGTGCTGCAAGCTAACCACCACCCTTCCTTTTGATCTCCACTGTGCCCTGCTGTCCACTCACAGGAGCCTCAGGACAGACCAGTCTTCTATTATAATTCACAGAGCTGTGGGTGGTGCTGGCCAGGTACTGTCCTGTAGGGGGAGGTGAAGAGCTCAGAATTCAGAAAGCTGCCTCCCCCTGCCACTGCTTTGCAATGCACTTTGCCAACTATGCTCTTGCTGTTGTGATATTTGGTAAAGCAGGAGTTCAGTCGGATATGACAGCTTTTTCAAGCACAATGCCACGGCACCCCTGAAAACCCCAGGCAGCATCCTGGGGCAGCTGTGGCACCCTGGTTGAGAAACGCCGCTCTAAATGATTGAATTTGTTATTTTGAAAATCCAGTATAAAGGCAAAGTAGCGATAAAACAAAACCCTTGTTGGTTTTACTAATACATCTTGTAGTTTATTGTCTGCTTTATGGGGCTGTGTCTTTTCACTACATACTTGGTGCTTTTATGTGTTCTTCTTTCTCATCTCAGAAAGTTGTGAGGCATGGTGAAAGGGTGACAACACAGGAACACAGGTGGGAGACAGGGGCAGAGTGTTGTCACCCTGTAACAGGAAGTTCCTGAATAAGGACCTTTATGAAGGAATCACCAGGTAAAAAGCTACAGATTTTAAAATATTGAAAATAATTTTTGAAAATTACATTCACATGCAAAGATTGTGAACAATTATGAGATTAGATTTACACTTCCTTCTCAGCATGGTCCATGTTTTAATGTACAATGTATAAGATACAGCCAGGGGCGGACTGACCATTCGAGCACTCAGGCACTGCCCGAAGGCCCGGGGTCAGTATGGGGCCCCATGAAATGCCTGGTACCTTTTTATAGGCTTTTTTTGAGTGTGGGCGAGGATATAGGGGCCCCATGATCCCCTGTTGCCTGGGGGCCCCATGAGTTGTCAGTCTGCCCCTGGATACAGCTATCCTTTAAAGAGCATCTTCTACTTTGCAAATATCCTATTAATCAAATAGTTTAAAGCAGTATTAAGCCCAAACACAAAAATGTATTATATTTCAGCTTACCAGTTCTTAGTTTGGCTGCACTAGTTTTCTATTCATTTTTTTTTTCCTTTAGGCATCATGCAGACTTGGCGTTTTTTCAGCTGCTGTTTTGGGTGTCAGGCATTTTTTTATACACCCAGTAAACTCCCCATCTTGTTATCCTATGTGTCCATGCACAAAGAGTCATTTATCAGCATTTTTTGGCAGAGGGGTTTTCAGGCTGGAAAAACCTCCCAGAACTACTGCATTTGAAGAGTTTTTCAGCTGTAAAAACACTCAAATGCTGAAATACACAGCTATTCAGTGTTTCGGAGCATTTTTGAGCCTCAAGCTTTTATGGAAGTACAGTTTTGCTCAAAAACAAAACTCACATTTTTAATGCGGCATTCTACAGCCAACACTACTGGCGTTTTTAGAACGTCCAGTGTGCATGAGGGGTAATTGTTACTAGGTGGGTCTGCCCAGTAAGTCTTTAAGGACCAAGATGTCCCACAGAAGTGGCAGTTAGAGGTTTGAGGCAAACCAGTTAAATACTGATAGGGGTGCTTACAATGGTCACGTTTTACTTATTTACTTATTTATTTAAAACCTTTATCCCAAAAGGAAAAAAAAACATACTGCTACTGTAATTGCTTGATCACTACCTTTCATTTTTGCACACGTTAAATCTGTAATTTTGGCTATAAAATGACTCAAAACACCCAGAACAGGACATATTTTCTGAAAGCGGAGACCCTGTAGAATATGAAGGACTGCAACGTTTACTGCTGCACTTTATATTATGAAACACATAAAGGTGATTATGGACCAGGGGCGGACTGACAACTCATTATCCCCCTGGGCAATAGGGGACCATGGGGCCCCTGTGTCTTTGCCCAAACTCAAAAAAGCCTATGAAAAAGGTACCAGGGGCATCTCATGGGGCCTCCTACTGACCCCGGGCCCTCGGACAGTGCCCGAGTTTCCAAATGGTCAGTCCGCCCCTGTTAGGGACACCAAAAATTTCAGGTAAAGAGGAAGAGGATCGGTAATAATGGCAGGGCAATCTTGCTGTTTGACAATCTGCCCATCAGGCTAATCTAGAATAACACTGTTGAGTAGACTGTAGTGTTTTGCTGGACATCGATTAGTAGCTTTGATCAAGAAAGATCAAAATAAAGGCTTATAAAGGTGGGTCAGCTGAGGTCAAGTCAAATGTTTGCATGGAAAGAGTTAAGGCAGAACTATACTCTTTTCCCATATTATTTGGCCATGCCATGATGACGTAACTCCTGCAAATGCACAGCTCAATGTACATTGCCAGCAAGATTGCGAACAGACCGGTACAGGGGCGGAATGACCATTTGAAAACTCAGGCACTGCCCGAGGGCCCGGGGTCAGTAGGGGGCCCCATGAGATTCCCCTGGTACACTTTTTTTTTTTTTCATAGGCTTTTTTGAGTTTGGGCAAGGACACAGGGGCCCCCATAATCCCCCTATTGCCCGGGGGCCCCATGAGTTGTCAGTCCGCCCCTGGACCGGTATGAATCCTTTATTGCAGGAAAAATGTTGTTCATCTCTTCTACAATAAAAAAAACCTGCCTGTTCACCTTTTATTCTATATTAAAGTGCAACTGAGCTCAAAAAGTGAAGATATGTTGTAAGTAAAGTTTAGAAATGATAACTGTGCCTTCATGGTGGCCTGTAAAATGTACCTTTTTTGTCTGAAATTTCTTATGAAAAATAGCAGTGCACTTCTGTTATGTGAGTGTGCCTAGGTATTCCTGTGCCTCCAGCCTCATAGCTGTATATCTACCGTGTGAGATCTAAGGCACTGCTGCCTCTGACTGATTAGTCTTGCAAGGTTTGGAGTAACATTAAGTGATGTCACCACTGTGCTGCTCACTATTCACTTTGTTGGAGAATTTGCCACGAGGAAGCCAAGCCCTGCCTTTATCTAGATGGTTGCTTTCACACAGAGACACTGCGAAGAACAAGGCATGGTAAGTCATTAATAGGGAGACCACAGGCTGTACTGGTGGCTGGCCCTTTGCCCTCTTCCTGCCTTTTTTGTGTACAGATTTCAGAGTTCAGTTCCACTTTAAAAAACAAATTTTCTGTTTTTCCTAATAAAGTGTAGTAGGAATCTTCATCAAACTGATGGAAGTATAAAATATTTCAAAAACGGATCCTATTTCTAAAATATATATAATATATTATTTTCTGATGCTTGTCTCCGCCATGCATTTTCTATTTCTCTTTGCTATTCCCCAAGTGATGTGATTCTCTAAGTCTAGCCATGTACTCTAAAAAAGAAACCCAATCATTATCTTTGTATCAGCCTTTCCTGATTTGACTATGATGCCATGAGAGATTACAGAAGCAAACACTGTTAATATTAGATTAACATGCTGATTTGAGCAATGAACTGCGGTTGAGATTTACAAAGGGCAGTTGGGGAAAGTGACAAATCACTGATTGCACTGTGGTTGCCGTCGACATTGTAGAGCCTTTTAAACACCTGTTTACAGAACTTCATCTGAATACTGAGCATTGCCGAAATACCCCTCGGTGATTTGTAGTATCTTTCCCTGAACTGTCGCTTGAAGTGAAACAATTAGTTTTAAGACATAATGGATTCTACTTTAGTTCAGGAGGTGCTAGTCTTGAATACTGAGTTTTATCTCATTATTCATGATTAGTATTTGTCTAGTTCTATCAGACAGAGGTGGTGAATTTCCCAGTACATTTTTGAATATCATTTTATAGCATAGAACGGAATATTCCAATCAAACATTTTATGTTTAGGCTGACTCATGAGATACATTTTGCCTTCGTGTACACTTTTTATTTTGCCATTCATTGCACCTGGCTAAAAAAAGATGGATTTAGTTCAGCAACAGAGATATGAATGTGAATCTGTCTGTTGTCTAATTTATAGGGTCACCTTTAAAGTACACTATATTGCCAAAAGTATTGGGGCGTCTGCCTTTACATGCACATGAACTTTAAAGGCATCCCAGTCTTGGTTCGTAGAGTTCAATATTGAGTTGGCCCCGCCCTTTGCAGCTATAACAGCTTCAACTCTTCTGGGAAGGCTGTCCACAAGGTTTAGGAATGTGTCTATGGGAAGGTTTGACCATTCTTCCAGAAGCGTATTTGTGAGGTCAGGCACTGATGTCGGACGAGAAGGTCTGGCTCGCAGTCTCTGCTCTAATTCATCCCAAAGGTGTTCTGTCGGGTTGAGGTCAGGACTCTGTACAGGCCAGTCAAGTTCCTCCACCCCAAACTCGCTCATCCATGTCTTTATGGACCTTGCTTTGTGTACTGGTGCGCAGTCATGTCGGAACAGGAAGGGGCCATCCCCAAACTGTTCCCACAAAGTTGGGAGCATGAAATTGTCCAAAATGTCTTGGTATGCTGACGCCTTAAGAGTTCCCTTCACTGGAACTAAGGAACCACACCCAACCCCTGGAAAACAACCCCACACCATAATCCCCCCTCCACCAAACTTTACACTTGGCACAATGCAGTCAGGCAAGTACCATTCTCCTGGATACTGCCAAATCCAGACATGTCCATCGGATTGCCAGAGAAAGAAGTGTGATTTGTCACTCCAGAGAACATATCTCCACTGCTCTAGAGTCCAGTGGTGGCCTGCTTTACACCACTGCATCCGACACTTTGCATTGCACTTTATGATGTAAGGCTTGGAGGTCTTTAGCTATTGACTCTGCAGACAGTGATTTCTGCGCACTGTGCGCTTCAGCATGCGCTGACCCTGCTCTGTCATTTTATGTGGCCTACCACTTTGTGGCTGAGTTGCTGTTGTAACCAGTTGCTTCCACTTTGTTATAATACCACTAACAGTTGACTGTTGAATATTTAGTAGCCAGGAAATGTTACAAGTGGACTTATTGCACAGGTGGCAACCTATCACGGTCCCACGCTTGAATTCACTGAGCTCCTGAGAGTGACCCATTCTTTCACAAATGTTTGTAGAAGCAGCCTGCATGCCTAGGTGCTTGATGTTATACACCTGTGGCCATGGAGGTGATTGGAACACCTGAATCCAATGATCTAGAGCAGTGGTTCTCAACCTTTCTAATGCCGCGACCCCTTAATACAGTTCCTCATGTTGTGGTGACCCCCAACCATAAAATTATTTTCGTTGCTACTTCATAACTGTAATTTTTGCAGTGGGAGGACTAGCGCCCCATCACTGATGTCAGTGGGATGAATAGTGTCCCATCGTTGGTATCAGTGGGAGGAATAGTGTCCCATCATTGGTGTCAGTGGGAGGAATAGTGCCCCATCATTGGTGTCAGTGGGAGGAATAGTGCCCCATCATTGGTGTCAGTGGGAGGAATAGTGTTCCATCATTGGTGTCAGTGGGAGGAATAGTGCCCAATCATTGGCGTCAGTGGGAGGAATAGTGCCCAATCATTGGCGTCAGTGGGAGGAATAGTGCCCAATCATTGGCGTCAGTGGGAGGAATAGTGTCCCATCATTGGTGTCAGTGGGAGGAATAGTGCCCCATCATTGGCGTCAGTGGGAGGAATAGTGTCCCATCATTGGTATCAGTGGGAGGAATAGTGTCCCATCATTGGTGTCAGTGGGAGGAATAGTGTCCCATCATTGGTGTCAGTGGGAGGCATAGTGCCCCATCATTGGTATCAGTGGGAGAAATGGTGCCCCATCATTGGTATCAGTGGGAGAAATGGTGCCCCATCATTGGTATCAGTGGGAGGAATAGTGCCCCATCATTGGTGTCAGTGGGAGGAATAGTGCCCCATCATTGGTGTCAGTGGGAGGAATAGTGCCCCATCATTGGTGTCAGTGGGAGGAATAGTGCCCCATCATTGGTGTCAGTGGGAGGAATAGTGCCCCATCATGGTGTCAGTGGGAGGAATAGTGCCCCATCATTGGTGTCAGTGGGAGGAATAGTGCCCCATCATTGGTGTCAGTGGGAGGAATAGTGCCCCATCATTGGTGTCAGTGGGAGGAATAGTGCCCCATCATTGGTATCAGTGGGAAGAATAGTGCCCCATCATTGGTGTCAGTGGGAAGAATAGTGCCCCATCATTGGTGTCAGTGGGAGGAATAGTGCCCCATCATTGGTGTCAGTGGGAGGAATAGTGCCCCATTGTGGGTGTCAGTGGGAGGAATAGTGCCCCATTGTGGGTGTCAGTGGGAGGAATAGTGCCCCATTGTGGGTGTCAGTGGGAGGAATAGTGCCCCATTGTGGGTGTCAGTGGGAGGAATAGTGCCCCATCGTTGGTGTCAGTGGGGGGAGGAATAGTGCCCCATCGTTGGTGTCAGTGGGGGGAGGAATAGTGCCCCATCGTTGGTGTCAGTGGGGGGAGGAATAGTGCCCCATCGTTGGTGTCAGTGGGGGGAGGAATAGTGCCCCATCGTGGTGTCAGTGGGGGGGAGGAATAGTGCCCCATCGTTGGTATTAGTGACACAAATGATGGGGCACTATCCCTCCCACTGACACCAATGATACTTACCTTGCTGACTCCTGCTCCAGCCTGGGCTCGCTCTCTCCCTCTCCCATCTACAGCCTGCATACCTGGCTGCAGCAGCAAAATTTGCACTTACCTGTCAGCTGTCTTCCTTCTCTCTGGCCTCTCTCTTCACTCGTTCCTGCAGCTCCCTCGATCTTCTTCGATCTCCGCGCGCTGCCGCTCGGCTCCTCCTCTCCAAGCTCCACCTTCTCGCCGGTGATTGGCCGCCTGTGTGCCTCTCCTGAGCTACAGTTCCGGTGGCCAATCAGCGGCGAGGAGGCGGTGACAGGGGCAGCATATCATCCCGCCCACACATCGCCGGAGACAGGAGCGGCGTCTCGGTTCCTAAGACCATCGGAAATATGTGTTTTCCGATGGTCTTAGGCGACCCCTGGGAAATGGTCGTTCGACCCCCAAAGGGGTCGCGACCCCCAGGTTGAGAACCGCTGATCTAGAGGGGTGTCCCAATACTTTTGCAATATAGTGTATATCTAAAGTCAAATTTATTTTTTTTTCACTTTGGGTAGAGTAGGGGATGGTTAAAACCACTCTCAGTTTCTGTTTCTTGTCCTATACACTCAACCGGAAGTGAAGGTATATCCTTTCACTTCCTGTGCTATAGACTCAATAGGAAGTGAGAGTAAATCCCTTCACGTCCTGTCCTATACATTCAACAGGAAGTGAGAGTGTATCCCTTCACTTCCTGTCCTGTAGACTCAACAAAAAGTGAGAGTATATCCCTTCTCTTCCTGTCATATAGACTCAACAGGAAGTGAGAGGACATCCATTCACTTCCTGTCCTATAGACTCAACAAGAAATGGAAGTATATCCCTTAACTTTCTGCCCTATAGGCTCAATAGAAAGGGAGATAATTTCTTTCCTATGTGAGGGAAACCCCCTCTTTGCTAGTTTTCATGGGAAGAAGTTTCCCAACTGGAAGATTTACCCTCTATTGCTGTACTGATAGCAAAATCTTGGATGTACCTTCACTTCCAATTGAAGAAAGGATAGTTGGAAAAAGTGCATCTCCCTAACAGGAACACATACAGCATTAAAAACTAGACAGGGGTTCTAACCCCTCAAAATCCTATTCAGATCTAAAAATAAAAAGGTTTTGATACTTTAAAAACAACCAGTCAAAGCAACTAGTGAAACCAGCCATTGAGCTACTGCTGCTATTTTTTTCAGCAAAATCCAGAGCTGTACTAAAGTTCATTCAATTCATCCTAAGACGAAAAGTCTACCCATAACCCATCTGTTAAATGATGCTTCCCCATTGCTCTGATCCTTGCTACTTTTTCTAATAAATTACTTTTTGAATACCTTTTTTTTAGTTTTTATAGGTGGTCTGCAAGTGGGTTGGCATCACACATTGCAGAATTTAGACACATTTCATGACATACACTTGAACAGCCGATGTGTATGCTGCTTGAAAAAATATCCAAGGGTGTACTGTATATGAAAATCCAGAAGACCTGGTGTGTGAGCCCTTTAATACAGCCTGCAGGCTTTCAGCTATTTAATAACCTCAAGCCCCAGCATTCCCTGCAATCCAGTGGCGTTCTAAAACTAGTGTTTTCTCAACAGCTGAAAGGCCTTAGGTGGCTCATACCTACTCTACCATGTCTATGAAGTATCCATATTCTTCATGCCTGAAGCAATCCACCAACCATGCTTAGCGGTACCATCTGTCAGTCCAAATGTGCTTATTTTAAATGCTAAAGTTGATCCTATACACATGCAATAATGATGGATAGATGTGAATAAAAGCAATAAAATCCTTGGAAAGGGCAGAGGAAGGGGTCCATAGCCACATAAAAAAAAAACTGAACCCCCAGTAAACCCCACCATTGACACACATTGACCAGTGTAGCATCAGGGGGTGGCCAGAGGATTGTGTTTATTCATGAGATTCTAAATGCTAAATGTATTCCAGTCCATCCAGTCCTGGTGGTCTTACGCTATCTGCTGTGATATTTTCATTCCATACAGCATCAGAATGCCACGCAAAATGTTGGATTGCGCAACAGTTGCATTTTGTTTATGTTGGAAAGGTATATAATGTATGCATAGTACTCTGCAGTGGAAAGTAGAGGAGGCAGATTTGTAATTAGTTCTCCCAGCAATTAAGGTTTTAGGCTTTTTGGAAGAACTATGGTCCTCCTTGCACTTCACATATTAAAGCCCAAGTAAAGCTATTATTTTATTTTTTAATGTATTAGGACTGCATAACAAATATAGAATATGTGTTGTTTTTTTTTATAAGCTAAAAATACTTTCAAGCTATATCAAACTAGCAGCATGCTGGATACCCAGAATACCAATCGGATAGCACACACCCCCTATACCCTAATAAAGTGACAAGACAAGTCAACCTATACACTCCTTCACCCTAAAGGAAGACTAACTAAATAATACAGCAGACTTGAATAAATATAATAATATCTAAAAACTAAAAGTCCAAAAATAGTCCAAACATTAATCCATCAACATGTGAAAAGGTGACAACAATGCTCAGAGCAGATCCAAATAGCTTAGATTCCAAAGGGGTCAATGATGGATTCCAGATACTCCTTACAGACCTCAAATAAAACAAAACCTAAACATAGTGTATTATCTTAGGATAACATATATGTACCACTCCTGTTACATGCAAAAAATCAAGTGCCACAGCAATCGTGAACATAAACTAAATAAAATGAACCCACTGCACACGGTAAGGTAAAAATGCATAATTACCCTAAGGTAAACATAACCAGCATTGAATCCATATGTGGGATGGAGCTTCATCAAAATGCCATATGCTTCTCTGGATACTTTTCCACAGACCTCATAGACAGACCAGGGGTCAGTATTAAGATCAAGTAAAAACACAATTTTATTATACCAACTTACATAGAAAAAGGCTGAAATCGGCATCCATAATGGGTGAAATACAATCGGCGTCCACATAGAAAAAGGAGAGTCTCCTCAATCAACGCCCCCATGGCATCTCCAATTCGCAATTCAAGCTCCTTATGCAAGTCACGACGGCGGCTAAGCAGATTATAACGAAATCCTGGAAATCCCCTACTCTAAGCGTTGCGGCTGTCAAAACCAAATTAACACAAGCCATGATACATGCAAAGGTGGAAGCCACAATTCTTGACACGATCCCGAAATTCTTGTGTATATGGACTCCCTGGGTAGAGCGCTTCCTTCCACCTAACTTTGACGAATCACTCCTCCTTCCTTGATTTGTGTGCTATGCCCCATGGGTATTGTTAATAGCCTTCATACATAGCTCATAGGGGCTGTCGTACACTCGATAAAGTTCATGGAGTCATTGTTGCTATTCCTTCTCCCCTTCCCCTGTTTGATCCCCCTCTAAACTTCCCTCCCTCTTTAATGCCCTTGTGAGCCATTACCCTGATTGACCAACGATATAATGTTATTTGTCATAAATTTTTGACTACCTGTTTTTGTTGGAAATATATAGACATTGTATCGTGATCTTCACTTTTT